GGAGGGTCGGGCGACGCTGCACCAGAAATGCAGAGTGGTTTGACGGATCGGAACAGAGGAGTCAACAATCTGAATGCTGCCCCCATGCCCAATCATCCAACGCCAGCGTCTTCTTTTCGAAGCCCTGCACAAACTTGGCAGCTGCCAGCACCGCTTCTTTGGGGCCTGGCTGCCTGGCTCGCTCTTTCCAGCAGGCTCGCACCCCCACTGGACCGCATCAGATTCTCGAAGATGGGATGTGTGGCCAGCCTCGCAGTGTGGCTTAGGTCATTCTGAAACTGCAGCTTGGCGTGTCTGTGCCGAGGTGCGTAGGCTGCACCAACGCAAAGCCTTAGATTCAGATGTACATCGAGACTGGAAACAAGATCACTACTGTATGATTTCCGGCTGGCCACACAACGCTGTCTCGAGATGCGCTTGGGCCCCAGCCGAGTTCTGTCTGAAGCTGATCAGAAAGAACCTTTCAGTCAGCCGAGCCAGTCACACCCATCCCGCAGCAGCACTAAATCATCGCCGCCAAGCCCCAGGCATTTAAACAGGAAACACTCTGCTGACTCACGGGCCTCAGCGACAGAGCCGAGTTCTCGCAGAAACTGCCACACAAGATCTGAGGAGTCAACTGCTGTCGCCTCCGGAGCTCGAACTCCACAAACCGACGAATGCGCAAAGACCTGACTCTCGGCGAAGGCCGCGAGGCCCTCGAATTAAAAGAGGATGTGAAGCTTGGCTGCAGGCAGCCCGATGGGCACTGCATTTCTGCGCAAGAACCGTCGCAATTTCAGTGTCTCCCGCGTAATTGCTTCTGACCTTGACCAAACTCAGGAATGTGCATGTGCAGATTGCAACCATGAGTGATTGTGCCCACCAGAACGAACAAGGTAGACTTGGGAAAGGCACATCATCCGAAGTTGCGTCAGCGACCCTGTGATGCTGCCGACCTGATTCACACAAGCCGCTTCAACGTGTGCGGCTGTCCACCACGAAGGCAACGTCGCATAGCTCTTGCATGGTCCATCCAAGGTGCGATGTATGAGAATGCCTGCATCGAATGGAAAGGCTGACGAACGCGCAAAGCCGCAAAGCCTTTTCTCGGAGAGTTGTACATACAAGCACATCGTGTGAATACTAACATGTACATGTAAACCGTGCGGGTGCCCATAATGGATACCGTATGGAGGTCATGGGAAATACTTGCATGCCGTACCAGTAGCATCACCGACGATGAGCGTCCGAGGTGCGATCAAAGCGAAGAGCACCGTCAATGTGGCGAACCCACGCTCGATAGGATTTGACGGCCTCAGAGATTATGCAGATGCTTACTTCTCCTGGCAGTGGAGACCACACGATGACTTGCTGACCAGATGCTGGACTTCCATGGATGCTGGAGTGAACTGGCATAGCGACCTGTGAGTTGAAAAAGGTTGCTTGCAGGCTTACCCCTTGCTGCTGAGCACCCTGCCAGTGTAAGCTGGTGAGATAGTCATAGAGCCACCTTGCTCAGCAAGCGATGCATGCAGGGGCAGGGAGGGAAGCCTGGAGACTCGAACATGTGGGACCTACAGACCGCTCAAGGTCCATCGACCACTCGGGCGCCTACAAGCATCGACCACTCGACTTTTTGTGCAGTCCGAGTAGAGGAGCAGATCGGAAAGAGCGTGGGGAATTGATGGAACATACGAGTACTAGGCAAGTTCGGAACAATCTTCAAGTCAGGGTCTCGACGACAGTGAAGACGACAGTTGTTGGTTGTTGCGTCTCACGTGCCAAAGTCTGAGTCAGCAAGGTTAGAAGCAGATGATATTGCATTGGCTGTTTCCTTGTCACATGTCGGACTGGTGATTCTAAAGTGGCCAAACAAGGTGCCAGCTGTCTGCGTGGTCATAGTCCAGCACGTGGGATGATTTCCAGTCTCGCCAGCCAATCTCGCTGCCCAGAAGTGCCAAGCCAAACCAAGCACAAGCCTGAGCTTGCTCCCGGTGACAAGAAAGACCGACCACCCTGCTCCTATCCAGCAAGATGCTTGAACTCGTCTGCTGGCCGCTAGCCAAGGCTCCAAAACATGATTGATGACCAACAACAGGGCCATCATTTTCGCAATCTCGAACCTCACAGGATCAGGCTGAAGCAATCTGGCAATCTCCTACACTTTCTTTATAGCTGGGGCAAGCTGCATGATGCTGGCATATTCCGAATCCAGGTAGTCCTGAGCTTTGCTGCATTGCTTGGCAACTGCCCCAGTTCGCACAACATGCATGTTAGCACGAAGGCAATACGAACCAAGTGCGTGGCTCGGAGTACTTCCATCAGCCATCGTAGCTTGACGATTCGAACCAGACCTCAGATTCGCCGAGGTGCAGAAGAAAGCACTGAATTCAGTCCTGGTTCTCACGGGCTAATCAGAATAAGCGGCGTGTGAGGCGGAATGCACGAAGAGCTCGCCTTGCATCTGAACCGAAAGACATGACAAGTGGGCAAGGGTGATACCTCGGAGCTTCTCATTACCCATCGCTGTCTGACACATCTTGACCCATGCTACTAGTCCCGCCCGTCCTCGCAGTCATGGCGAGTTGTCGCAGTCAGTGTGTGTGTGTGTGGGCGTGCATTCGCAAACATGCGGGACTCATGAGCTGGCTCCTGCACGCTACCAGTTCTGACAAGCCCATGATCCATCTAGGTCTCCTGCTCATGCTTCCGACCCTGGATGCCTGGATTATTGGACAACTGCACTCTTCGTTTCAGAAACCTCGTAGTTGCGCTGAGCCACAGGAGTCGAGCTTCTTGGAAATCTTGTCCCGGCGAGGCATTGAGCTGCAAAATCCTTGGGTCAACCGCCATGCTGAAACAGGTTGCTCATCGGACGAGCATCGACTGAAGTGACTCTCACAAGCCTGCCAGGCCTAGCCTACGAAGCCTAGCGGTGTCCAAACAAAACGACGCAGATCAATTGAGGAGCCTCAAGTTCAATCTGGCTGGAAAGCTTCGAAGCCATGAACAGCCAAAGCTCATCAAAGCCCCTAAGAACATGGCATATACAGGTGCTACAGCATCGCAACGACTGCAGCACCACAGTGCTTGCACACCGGCTGGAAAATCCTCTGCCCTTGGGAATGGATTGCCCCGAAAGAACAGCATCTGAGAGAAGTAAGTTTTTGTTATTATAGTAGTACATGTGTAGGTGCAGGTCGTTTGTTTGCTTCCAAGTCCTACGTGCTCGCACCTATTTTTGGACCATCTTGTCTCCGCATGTGTTTCACTTCCCTGCTTGCACTGCCAGCCCTGCATCTAACTTTGGAGGCAGAAGAACTACCACAACGACCGCGCCAAACTCAAACAGATCACCACAAAAAAAGATCAGCATCTGGACTGGGCACTTTCTGACAACTCGAGAGAAACAAGATGAGGAACTCTACCATGATCTTGTTACAGCACATTCCTGAACGAACAGCCCAGCGGCGTCACAGTCCAATCGGGTACCAGTGTCAACATGTCGACGAAAATGGTTCTCGTGACATATCTGAGGAAGATGGCCTTCGGACCTTGCAAGGATCACGTTGCCAATTGGCATGGCAGAGGGCCACGCACCATCAGGCGCATTGCTACAACAACGTCTGGTGGGTTCCTATCGGCATCATGAAACTGCGCAGAATGCCCGCGCCATTTCATTGGCTCAAGAAGGCAATGGTCCTAGTGTCGCAGCTTTCGGAACTGTCTCTCTGTGGCAGGGGCTCATGACAGCCACTCCGTTCTGCAGATAGCCACATGTTAACCTGTGCGCAGCACGGCAAGATGACGATGCTCAGAGACGCGTCGGATCATGGCGGACCAGCATTTCTGGCTGCACTTCTCCGACGCATTGAGTTTGAAATGCCAGAAGGATCTTGCTAGCGGCCGACACAAACTTAGCAGGAATTCACATCCTTGGCATGAAGTTATTCCCGCCCAAGTTGCGAGTTGACGACGTTCAGGGTCCAGTACCTTACTGATGCGGATCTAGAGTGCCATAAAGGTTCTTTATTCTCTGCTGCATCTGGGATGCACCAGGACAATCCAGCCCAGAATGTCTGTGGCGATGCTGTCAACATCTTCGAACACCATAAGCGGTAGTGTAGTGATGTCCTGAAGTCCGGCTTCACGTGTTGCAGTTCACGCCGAGCAATGTGCAATCCCGATTTATCTCGATATCCGAGGTTCATAGAGAATCATAATGCCACCAATAGCATCCCATGCCATGCGCTTTGCGCTGGTCGGGTTGCCGATCACGTGCCGCATCATGCCCTGCGTCCTCGGGCTACCAACGCGAGCCATCTGCCGGGTGAATGGCATGTGTGTTGGCTAGGTTCTTGACAACGACGCCGACTCGACACGGCAGAGAGCAAATGCGCGAGAAGACTACGGCGACTAAGGCCAATGCATGCCAACGATGGTGAGCTCCTCAATGCTGTTTGTACCTGAAGACTTTCACTTTACTTGGCAACCGACTTTCCTCAAAACCATGGTGGAACAATCACAGGTGTCCCGGGTCAATCACAAACTGAATCGAACAAATAACACGCGCACGCATGCACGCACGCACGCACGCACGCACGCACGCACGCACGCACGCACGCACGCATGCACGCACGCACGCACGCGCACACACACACACACTCGCCCACTCACTCACTCACTCACTCACTCACTCACTCACTCACTTTTCCTGGGGCCGCCGTGGTCCTCAGGGGTTCACACACACACAGATACTCCTGTTAAGGAGTAGCTAGAAAGACTAAGAGTATTACCCGTAAGTTGATGCTTTTGAGCCCAACTTGAAATTTGCACAATCGGGGTCATCATGATGGTTCGCAGGTCAAAGCCGCAGCCCCATCATGATGCCCGGAGATTGTGTCGCCGTTCCCGCTCGTCGTCTTGTTCACACACGCACACGCACGCACACACGCACACACGCACGCACACACACACACACACTCTCTCTTGCTTGCTTGCTCGGCATTTGGGGTTGGGGAGAAATCCAATTCCCCTGCGCGCAAGCGCTACGCCAAGGTCTCGTGTAGAGTTAGTCGGTGTGAAACTTGAGAGCTCAGCATTGGTAGGTTCCAGGCCTATCACCCCTCTTCAGAAAACATGATCAACTCACATGAACTCGTCCCCGCCTGGTCCCTATCGTTGGTGCTGAGCCCCTCTTTGTACGGTGGCCCTTCGCATGCTCCCCGAGCATTGTCGGGGGGGAGCAGTTTGAAGAGTCGGTAGGGTCCCCTGTGGTGAAGTCCAGATCAACATGACTGCTATCTCTCTCTCTCTCTCTCACACACAGACTCCACCATATCCGCAGAACATAATTGAGCTAATTGAGCGCAGGAAGGCGCCACCCGCTGCACGAGCTACAGACAAAGAACGGGTTGCGAAACTTGCGAAGCTACATCCTGTGGAGTCCTGCCCATGACTTAACGGAGCTAGGTGAGATTTATGGCCCTCCGGGTGGAAACCACAACAAGCAGCTTTCGTTTCCCTGCAATCTAACCGGTGCCCTTGAGACTCCGACGATCCGAAGCATGCATTCTCTGCCCCAACGTCTTCGTAGTGCCCTGACAGGCGCAGCGCGAAGCAACGTAAATGTATTTGGATTCAGATACAGCTCCTGCAGCTGGTCAAGCCAACGGTTGCTGCACACCGGTCGTAGCAAGGTAGCCCCCTCAAGCAATGTCACATGCACACCGATAGACCGGGCGCCTTCGATCGGGCACCTAGGGTGCAAACGAATCGCAGAACGATGCCGATGTGATGTTGAACAAACACGAAATTGCCATTCGGGTCGAGCAGCCAAAGGATGCCTTCGTCCAGACATCGTTGAGTTCGATTGTCTTCGGCTGAAGCGCCAAAGACTCATCGCCTCACAGCACATAGAATCATAGAAGGACTTGCGGCTCGATGAGCTGTGGCTTGGTGCATCGTCGCCACAAGTATTGCGATGTGAGTCTCTTGGGACATGACACTTCACCGAGCTAAAAGGAAATCGACAGCTCTTGTATAAGGCAGGAGTTTGCGGCTGTTAAAGGCAGACAAGGCACCTGCCAACATCTCCGTCTCTGTCCTCAAGCAAGAGCGGTGCCCGATACAGCTGTGAAGGCAAGAGACATAATAATACTCCCGACCTCCCATCCATCAACGAGGCTTGGGTTGTCCTTGCACAATGCGCCAAACCGAGGTTCGCTCACACCGTCACTTGTAGAGAACCGGGCCAAGCCTCACGGATGTCGTCTTCGTGGCAGAGCAAACCGTCCTGGCGGCCGGCAATACAAAGTCTACAGCGACTCGACAGGACAGCGCTAATCTCGGAAGCCGGAGCCGAAAAAAGCCAAGCCTCTCGTCTGGCACGACCTGCGCCACCTCCGCCGTCTCGGTGGTCTGCCTGACAAGACAGATCCAACGATTGACATAATCTTATTGCCTGCATTCACACATCTCCGATTAGCACTGCGAAGCTAGTCGGCTGGGCGGCATCTGAGCTGTGCACACTGATGCAAGCAGAAGTGGCCGGCATTCGCGTCTGTCCTACTGCAAGTTGTGTGCCGCTTCGGCGGCTTCGTTTTTGCGACAGAACCTGAGGGTGACAGACGTCGGTGTGCGATTCGCTGCCGGTGCACAAGATGCCGCATCGCTTTCCAATCCGATTCAATGGAATCCCGACAGGACTCGTGGCAGACGACGCTGACTTTCAGTGGCGTCCATGCAATTCCAGCAGGAGCACTGCAGCACGGTGGGAATGGAATGACACGACATAGACTCAAACGATGGCAATGTGTGGATGCCAAGTAGGATATCGGTCTTGGCCGGAACTTAGGCAACCTTGAACTTGTACACTGGGCAAAGCAAAACAGCATTGGCAAGAAGCTGCCTCGACCACTCAACATGCCATTCGACGGAACTTGGCTCACTTTGCAAGTTGACAGGCTCTGGGCTCGCAAACTTGTGTGCATCTTCGCCAGGGGGAGTGGGTGACTTTGGCCTATGGCATGTCGGACGTGTTGTTCCGCAGAGAGCGATTCTAGTCAAGGGGGGGCAATTGCAGAGATCCATCCAGCTCAAGAGCAGCTTACAGCCTCGCAACACCACGGTTTTCCGCCTTGTAAACATTTGGGGAAACCGGTCTCGGACTGGAAGACTCAATGTGGTCCAATGGCTGATGGCGGCAGCAGAAATGCCCTGTGCTGCTGGGCCTTTCCGCTGGTGAACGGTCGAAACAGGCGCAGCGAGTCGTTTGAGATTGGAGGGCAGGGAGGGGATGGCTTCTTGCCGCCGTACAGTAGCTCCACTCCCGGCAATCCGATAGTGGGACTCCGTCGATGCCAACTTGCGTGCTCCAAAGATGGCAGAGACACTGCCAAGCACAAGGCATGAGATCAAAGCTTTACTTATGTGCGCCTTGGGGCTGACGAAGTATCTTCTTCGAAGTCCCTGCGGCACAAGGGGCAACTGAAACCATATGTACTTGTGCGACTGCCACACAAGCGGACATAAGACACATGTAGCTCCCTCGTCCCCTGCCTTGGGTTCAGGCTGTCGCCTACCTCGCTCAGGTTGTCTGTGATCCTGAAGACAAAAGCTGAGCTAGCTCTACGTCCTGGCTTGGCGAGGCATTGCAACATTGAACTAAGAAGACTGGCTCATCAATCGTGAGGTGGGGAAATGCTCGGCAGTGCACAACTGCCATGCCTGGAATCCATATAAAACTCCGAAGCCCGCGCCGACGACCTGCAAACTGCCATGCTGCAGTACTGCTGACATGGCTGAATATCTGCATTCCAGAGCTCTGTAAGGCCCTGCCTATTGCCGGTCGCGCCCGTCACAGCGCTGATCCGAGTCTTGAACGACCGGTTTTCGGCTTGCACAAGATCCAGGCGCACCTTCCTCGGTGCCGTGCAGCGATCATCGTTATGTCTGCGCAGCCACTGAAGGAAGCCCAAACAAACATCGATGGAGTGGATTCCTGGGGAAGGATTCGGAGCATGGGCATGGGGGCAAGTATGCCGCCTGCAACTCAGGGACGACGCCAAGCAATTATCAAGAATTTAGAAGCACGATTGACGCGAGGTTCGACAAGCTACGCATTCAGACTTTGAAGACACTGCGGACTGACCTGTCTCTTGCAATCCGAGTCGCAGCTGTTGGATTTCTTTGTTGTGCTGCGCGGCGAGTTGCTGCATCAGCTCGTTGAAGCCCGGCTCCATTCCACCCGCAGCTCTCGAATGTCTGTTCGACTTCAGACTGGCCTGGCACTGGAACCATGGCGCAGGCTTTCGAAGCTGCAAGAAGGAAAGTCCTGATCAATTTAGCCACGCTGCACTCTGAGACATGCTGGGAGAAGGCTTGGCAGGCGAGCTGGCAAAGGGGTCTTGCAGGAGCGACGCAGCGGCCAGCATGGCGGCAACGAGCTATTCTACAGGTGCTGATCTGCAGCTCATGCACGTGCTGCCGATCGCATGCCATGCACGGGAATTGCAACCCACCTTTGCTCTAGGATTATGGACGCAGGCATGACAAGGCATGAGAGAAACGTGCACAGCTACTGGCTCCTGTCAGCCGACATCAGAAGGAACTTTGGACTGTGTGCAACTGCTGGCGACACCGTCAGCAAGTGGAGACTGAGGACAAAGCTCGGCTCTGCCTGCATGTGTTGGCATGATCATCAGTCCCCAGCAGCCTGAACTGTTTGACCCCACTAAGAGCCTCATCGAAGCTGCCCCTGCAGAGGGCGCGCACTTTCCAGAGACAGAAGGCGACGGGGAAGTGACATGCCGGCATGGCAGAAGCGAAGACAAAGCCGAGGGAATGGAAGCAAGTATCTGCCTGAGATGCGGTCGAGCGCATGGGGGGGACTATGGCCTGTGTTGTTGACTTCTGATCCAAATCCACTATCAGTATCAGCAACGACGGCAGTTCTTTGGAGGCCGGCATCGCTTCTGGACTCACAGACAATGCAGCCTGCTCAGGGAAGCGTGCTGATCCACAGTCACAACTTACTGCTGGCTTGCACGCCTGGCTCATCGCAGCCTGGACCTCCATGTGGTTTTCGTCGTCCAGCATCCGAAGCCTCGTCTTGGAAAGGTCTGATCCACGTATCAACTTTTCTAGGATTTCGAGTCCGTGCCCCAGGCTGCACATCGAGACAAAGCTGCAGAGGTTTGACCTCTTCAAGCACGTTTCCACGCGGCATCAACACGAACAGTTCCACTCACAGTCTTGGCTTGCGACGACATTGAAATTTGCGCCTCTTGCTGTAGTGCTGCCTGTTCTACACGTGACACGAAGATGCGACGTCTGAGAAGCTTGGGCTGCTTCTCAGTGGCTTGGCAAAGCTGCCATTCACTGATGCTGGGGCTGAGGCGAAGTGAAATGTCTTCCAGCTTCAGCTTGCAGGCAAGACCTTCCAGTAAATAGCCAGTACATAGCCAAAACAAATGTCCGGCAGTGGCGGCACATGTTATCGCTGCCAGGTTCACACAGAACTCAGGCCGACGATATGCAATGAGCACGAGGCACGGACGCTCGTATGCGCAGGGTCCCAAAGTGACAAGGTGAAGGTCGCCCAGACCTGACTCCAGGGACGAAGACGCTGACTCCGCTGACCCGTCCTTGTAAGTTGCACTTTGTATCGCACTAGGTCACTAGGTTTTTTCTCAACAGAGACACATCTTTTACATGTCAAAGAGTACCTGTTGTGAGTCCCGAACGTTCGTCACTGCTCGAAAGCTCACTGAACAAGCATCAATCAATAAAAGGCTCCGCCTCAATTACTACACCTATTGCGTGGGAGTTGACCGGGACATGGAAATGGAAAACCATGCGGCGATCGTCGGCAGAGGGTCCGGAGCACAGCTCACCAATTGTTCGTGCAAACCAGCAGAATTGCTACACTGCGACCCTTGCCGAAAGAAAAAGTCTGAACTCTCTGCTTGCCTGATCCCAATTTGGAGCGTGGAAATGAGAACGGGAACGGATCCGTGCTCAATCCAGCAGATCAGATGCAGTTCTCGATTCCTACCTACCAGATTCTGACCGTCATATCGCACACGCAGACTTATATGTGTATGTATGTGTGTATGT